TGCGTGGCCAGGAAGAAAAAAAGGATACCGTGACAGATAATCAAATGTGTTCCCGAAAAAGTTTCGCGCTCGGGACCACCGAGTAGAACTTTTTTCATTTGACGTAATGCAACCCCGGCGCTTATACTCAGACGCGGTTTAATTTTCAAAGATAAGGTCACGCTCCTGGCAAAGTTTCCCCAACGTCGCGTTCGGGTTAGCGTGCTTCTTTTCTCGCCACGCACACACCACGATGCGCCGATTCGAACACCACACGTCCAGGGTGATCAAGAAACCCCCAAAGTAAAACCAAGAATTTGTTTTCATCCAGTAACGATCGCCACGAACAAGTTTTCCACCCTTATCCGATACAAGCGTGAGCAAACTGCGCGAGCGTTTTGTATTGCTGAAGTTTATTAATCTTCCCCTCGGTGGCTGTAATACATCGAAATTAATTGACCACGAGCCACGCGTTCTCGTGAAACTTCACCCCTGATACGGACTTCCACTTTCGTTGTTTACAGTGAAGCATTGAGTGGAATTACGCGCAGGTATGAGCGCCGAAGCTTTTTCAGCTTTTTCACCCTTTTCAGCTCACCACTGAGGTTCGAGGATTGGTGAACAAACCATCCATTCTTCAATGTAAACAGTCGGGGGCGCGATGATTGTGATAACTGTACGATTCGTGAAGGACGAACACTTGAAGCTATGTTTAACTATAGTCTCCAATAGTACAAAGAACGTTTTCCCCAGAGGTTATTACAATTGTTTCATGTGAGGGGATAAATTGCAGTGCAGCAGGCAAAATCGAGAAAAATATATATGCAAGTGTCTCTAACTTCATCCTTTTCGCGATCATGCCACGATGTACTTACTCTGCTCTCAAACAGACTCAAACTAGCATTTCTGCTACAGTGAAAATGGCAACATAATGCCTGCTTTCCGAGACATGGAAACTTTCAATGTAAGCGCACGGCTCGTCTCTACAGTTGAAAAGAATCGGACTTATTGTTAGAACCGATGCCAAAGAAGTGACCCGACGTCCGGAGGGCTAAAAAAACTTTCTTATAACCCCCAATAGTTTTCAAGACAGCGTTAGGAGGCGCAACTTCCGAGGGTAGTTTCGCCTCTTAAACTTGAGTTGCCGCGAGGAAAACAAAACACGTTCCCTTATTTTCGGATGGTCAGCAAACCTACGAAGTTTCTTCGCGTCAAAGGAAATGAACTAACTCCAAGTCCTAAGCAATCTTGTATCAGCGACCTAACGCTTTTTAACACCAATGCAGACCAGCGTCTGTTTTATACGGGTTGTACGAGGCGACATCGTTGCATCTGCATAATGCAAGACTATAAACGTCTCATCATAGAACTTATGCGCGCATTATTCAAGGCAATGTATCAGATATGAAGAGTGATCCGTGAATATTTCAGTCGAATCAACTGTACCCTCTGGGTAATCGTTATTTACTACCGACTATTACTCACTCGGATGAAATATACGTAATAGTCAACACGGTAAACGTACGATGATTAACTTTTTCTAACGTATTCAACGTACATATATATCATCTAATGAGTTCGTCCCGTTGCACTTCGCCCAATTTCTATCGATTATTCATAACGCGTCCGCGCAGCTTACACTCTTTTTGGTAGAAATTCAGGAGGCAGATTACGTGATTCCGTGCTAGTTCGTATTCATCGGCGACTTGGCCTAGGGTATATAGGAAGGTACTCTAGGCTTTACATTCGACTCACGCAATGAGCGTTCTCTGTTCCGAAATATTCCTTATCCAGAACAACAACCTCCCCCTTTATACGGAATTGCTACTCTCGCGGGTTTCTGGTTATTAAGTTCAAGTGGTTCGAGTTGGCTGGTATTAGAAGAGGCGTTTTCTACATCGATCTCTCGCTCGGTAATGCGACGCGGTCACCGAGCAATGAAAGGAGCGAAAATTTCTACGTTGACGTTCCCGAACGACTGTCGTCACTGTCGAGTATCATCCTATGCACATAAAAAAAGCATTCGAAACGGATCAGTTCGGCTTATAATTCTTCACGTGTTGTCAAGCTCCACGCGTTCCCGCGGAATACGATACGACTGCACCGACAACGGAACGAAACGATGCGCGACGTATCGAAGATTTGATCGATCCGTGAAATTCGCAATTTAAAAACGATCCCGACCATTTTCCTTTGCCGCACAGCCACGAAAAGCGTTGCCTACAAATCGCATTTGTTATGACACATTGAGCCGAGAGAAGCGCTGGAAAAAAAAGGTTCGCACGCGATAGAGGAAAACTGGAGGGAAAAAAAAGAAATCTGTATAGCTCTCCGCCCGACAACGCACGTCTGCTTTACTTAATATCCACGACGGAACGAGGCTTGAAGGAAATTTCGTATCTTGCACACCAAAATCTAATTTCGTAAAGTGACAGCTTCCGGAGTGCCGGATACACAAGAAATGAATATTATTTTCACGGAAGAGTAACAAAACTCCTTCATGAAGAACAAGTTACGAAAAGAAAGAGAACTTTTTATTTATTCAGCGGTTAGTTGTTTATATATAACGTTGGGAATTTTATTCAAGACGACCGCGCGTTCGCCCATCGTTAATCCATACCATCGATAAGAAATCTTAGAATGCCTGACAACCGTTGAAGCGAGCGTCAGTCGGGAATTTAATTTTCTCGAAAACAAAATCGACCATCGAGAAATATCGCTACACCGATCGCGCTAAAAACTGCTCTACTTACGAATACAGAAGAAATGAATCAACGTGTGCACAATAGTCATTCATTGTGCCAAGAACGAAAGATTCGCGTACGTATTTATGGCACGAAAAAGGGATTTCTGATAAATGGCATTCCAGACGAAAGGAAATTGTGCTGTACCGTCGATGTTTTACACCACTCGTGCTGGCTATAAAAGCGAAACGTTTGAATTATCGGAGACGTAATTTGACTCGAAGCAATTACATTGAATAAAGTCGAAGCGTGTTACTTCTCGCGACGAAACGCGCCGGTGCCAAGCGACGAAATAATTCGTAATATTTAATTACCTAAAATACGAAGGAAAAAGTTGTACGTATTCGCATTAAAGTTTCGCGAAGTGTGCGATACGCTCTACTTAGCATAATTAGGTCAGAGAAATATACATCTCTTACGCGTGTATTATTTTGTTTTTCAAGCGGATTTAACGGTCTTTACAAAATTTTTTCGCGGCAACATTAATTACTCAATTTTCGCGGCGCGTTTCACGGAATAAAATAGTAAAGTAACACAAATGAAACGAGGTTAATACGCGGATTAAACATAATCCTGCTGGTAGGGAAAAGTAATTCTACAAGAAACCGTTTTTAATTTTCGGAGATTAATCTGACATGGGAACTTGTAACGGTAATTGCGATATCACGCACGATACGGTTTCTGATTAATTTAAATCAAGTTCGTTACTATTTAATTACTCGAACCGTAGGCGTTGCGAGAAATCGAACGGCCGTTTCAGAAAACCCAGGAAATTAGCCTTTATCCTCAAGCGAATTCTTGATCCATTTACCGTGATTCGATCGTGATCCTGATCGTTTTCCTATGGAGTTTATTTAAAGCCCATTAACTCGGATCCGGATTCTTTCTACCCCTCTTTGTGATTTTGCAACGTCGTTACGCGTTTTACAGCTCGCAAATCGCAGTCGACGTTCCAGTTCCGCGATTGTTTTATCTCAATGTTATCCGCAGCGGCCGTGTTTTATAAAATACGAAATGAAAATTGCGCTCGTCCCTGGGAAAATGACGAACGAAGCAAAAATATTCGCTGCAGTAGTATTTGATGAGGCGTAATTGAAAGTGCATACGAACGCATGAGCGAGGGCTCGTTTGGTCAAAAAACGAACGTGCGACTCCGACGAGTCATTCAATTATTGACCAATGAAGCAAAATAAGTATTCATGGACCGGCAATTTTCGCTCGACTAAACTTCCCCTGTCCGTCCCCAATTGCTTTCCATGCCGGAGTTCACCCTACTTTCCCATTTTATTTCTAGATTTTGCGGATGCTCGCGTGCATTATACTTATACCCGATTTCAGATATTGTACGCCATCTGATTTACAGTAAGATTTAAATCGGACTCCTTTTATTTGAGAAAATATAATCGAACGTCCCTGAATCCTCGTAATTTTCAGATATTCCTACGTATAATTGCGATTTCAATTCTCTTGTTAATTTTTCTGAATTTTCGATGCTCGATATTGAAACTATTAACTGATCGATACCCACCGAACTGATCCAAAAATGAGTTCGAAACATAGGTAACGCACCTTAACGTGCTTGTCCGAACTATGCTAGTTATTATAGTCGGTTCAATTTCCAGTTTTCGACAAGATTTTTAAATTTTCATTAAACTTTTCGAAAGCAGCACCGCTTGTAAAATGACGTATTAACCCAGTTTAAAATTGCCTAGCAAATGCGGCATTATATCGCAGAGACGTAAAAGTTACTCCGTAACGTGGAGAAGCTAATGGATTCGAATATATAAAGAATGCTTAAACGGCAACGTTAAAAAGCATAGCAACAGAGACAAATGAGATAACAAGCTTTCCAACAAAAACCGAAACCCGTGACTTCGGAGGATAATGTTCCTTTGTACGGCGACTGAATACGTCAAAGGAATACCGAAACATCAAGCTCCCGTTCAAAGATGCCTTTGGGAAAGAGACTGCACAACGTCATCAATCTTTTAACGTTTCATGTTGCGACAACCTTGTATACAGGAGATGCTGCCGATTAATATTCGATGAGAGCGCGTATCTTATTTCGGTTCAGGCGATAGAGAAGTGTCTCAGAAATAGAAATTGTCTATCGAACAGGATCAACGATAGCCCTTGAGATGGACAAAATTTGAATCGAATCAATAGTAAGTTCTCGTTCATTCGATTCTAACATTCGAAAATTCTTTACCCTTTATTCATTATTCCAGATTATCGCCCTCCTGGCTAGCGCAGATAAGACATATAAACCGCTGTTACCTTGTTCGCCAGCTCGTACGAAGACTATCTCATGAATCGTCAGCAGGACGACGGTGAGCCCGAGGACAGTGTACCGTAGATAGCGACACATTTCCGAAAACGAAAAGGGCCAGTCCCTACGTGCTGTCTGGATGGTCCTTCATTTCCTCTTTCAGCGAACGTCCCCGTGCCAAGCGAACGACACTCGAAGAAAACGTAACTGGTCGATTCGCGACAGTTCCGCACCGATCTGTAGACGTGTATCCCGGCAACACAAACACCACTTCGAACGGATAAACGTAGCTGCTATGTTCCCTCCACTGTGACGACATGAACCGATTTCACGCTAGAATACCGAGCGACTCGCCCTCAATTCGCTAATTCGAAGAGGGATCGTGGACCCTCGCAGGAATCCTCGCAGCAACGATCCAGGGACCGCGTCGGACCCAACGAATCGAACATCTTGCACGGAATTTCGACGCTCGACGTTAAGCTATCCAATCGCGTTTACCGGAAGAGACGCGCGTATCCAATCGACGCCATGGACGAACGATAACCCGTGCCCGTGGAAATCAAATATTGGTACGCGACTGAAACACCGTGTCACCCATTCATCAGCAGTCCTCGGCGTTCATGCCACCCGACGCGAGATTAAGTCTGATCGTTCGCTGGGCTTGTCACGGCCACGAAATTAATTTCAACGTAAACGAGGCAAATTCTTCGCCGATGTATCCTCGACGCTGACGCGTTTTCCAGCCAGAGGATCAAAGGTCCCTTTGCCGATCCGACGAATGCAAACCGATCCCCCAGAAAATCTAACCGGTGCGCCTATCTAAAAGTCGCCTTTCGTCAAACGTTTCATTTTCAAGGCTGCCACCGATTCGCGCTTCTCGAAAATTCGCGACACAACGGCCACCAAATATCGCGGGAAAACGCGAGCAATGGGACGAACCACTGACGAAAAATCGGCAAACGACGCTATATCCTCGCTATCGCGAAGATTTCCCGGTGATTCTGAGGATTCGCTGCACAGCTGTTTCTTCTCGATGGAATCAATCTGACGATCTCGAGGATCTCTGGAGATCGAAAATCTACACGTGGTCAAGAATGTACACTCTGGTTCTGGAGTAAAACAACACTGGGGACACTTTTTAATCACTCGAATCGTGTCATTCGTTTCCTTTCGTCAAACGATCGACGTGGACACGTGCGGAAGTGCGACGTTTCTGTCTAGAGTTCCAGGGATCTACGAGCGACGATCGTTGGTGTACCACCCTGAATGACTGGCGAACGTCATCGCGGGGCCGCGTGGTCCAGATGAACGAGCGGAAATGAAGCGGACAGCGCGCGAATTGTAAGAGAAAAACAGGACCGCGAGAGGACGAAAGAGGAAGATGCTGCGCGCGCGAAAACGACGAAGGTTCGCGCGGACGAATGCAAGCGCAATGCCACGAGCGTTTCGGTAAACTCACCGGGTGCTTCTTCGAAACGCGAAGCCGAGCAGAGACGGCGGTAGCCGTGCGAACCCGAATGAACGGATCATGCGACTCAGCTGCCGTCAGGCGCCTCTATCCAGCCACCCCCGTCGCGAAACGCCTGTCCAGTTGCGCCGTGGCACACTGATATTACCGCCACACCACCACCACCATCCCTTATTTCCTCCGACTATCAGTCCAGGAACACACGCTTTTTCTTATTCTATTTATTGCGTTTCGCGCAGCTTTCGTCTTTGTCACGATTCGAAAGAATGAAATATCTCACTGAAGCATACTAGGAAAAGTCTAAGCCTGATACCAAATACTTCATGCTGGGAAATCTCTTATACTAATCATTTCTAATTAATCGCGGTAACTGCTTTTTTGTTGGAGACACAGTTACGTCAGACCTATCATTGATAAATATACTAAACGACCGCTTAATTATGCAAAACCGAAGATAAACCGTTCCCAAACCAATTGCAATGGCGAATGCAACGAGTAAACAAACGCGGCACGATAAAAATGCACCGCTTAATGAATTAATTGGAATTAAAACGGATAAAATCGAAGAATTTCATCAATAAATGGTCGCGATAGACTCGACAACGACAATTTTTGTCCATTTTCATGCGGAACCCGCAACAACGATAAATTCCCCAACGCCGTGATCGTAAATCAAAATGTAACCCGTAATGGTATTACTACTGGTCGGAGCGTAACAGAAGTCAGCCCTTCTCGCTTTACAAGTCTGATCTGTACTTGTATTAAACTGAAGCGAATAAACTGTACGCGTGATCGTCACGCTCCATCAGCTGCTATTGCCAGAGGCAATGAGCCGGACGCGTGATCATGGACGCAAACCGAAAACCGTACAAATAACGTCACCGCTTTCATTTAATTTAACGCATTTTTAACTAATTCGCGTTACTTTCCCGTGAATTTCCCGTGAGTTTCGCGAGACAGTTTTCCTTTCTATTAACAAATTACATCTCTGAGATGACAGAATTTTTATTTGAGCAGCGAAACGCAAATAAACATTCGACGACGATTTATTCGGAGCGTTTATACGATTGGACGGTTATTCCATTAAGCTGTTGTTCGATCAACGAGAAATATAATTTGATTGTACGGGTAATTCAGATTGCAATTTTTATGGAACAAATAACGGATCAAATTTTGCTCGTCTTGCATTCGTTGTTAGACATTTTTTATTCAGACGAAAATTTAACACAGTTCTGAGACATGATGTACTTAAATAATTGACGTTATAAATTTTCTTTGCCATCCCCCTCAATTGTAAGCCGCTCACTTCAGGAGCGACCCCTACTCTAAAAGACACTGGTCCAACCTGAAATTTCACTGGCCACCATCTTCCTCTCAAAGTCCTCTTGGGAGTTGATGCAACGATCCTCGCAATTCTGCCATTGTTCAAACACCTTCTAAAAGTCCTCTTTCTTCGTGCTGTTCACCACAATCTCCGTCTCTCCTCGAATCTTTTCAGCCTTGTCAAACCTCCGCCCTTTGAGTTTCATCTTCATTCCGAGGAAGATGAAAAAGTCACAGATGGCCAAATCAAAAGAACAAAGAGGACATTCTCCTCAGAATGGAGATAAAGCTCAAACATCGAAGATTTGATGCAGGTGAGAAGAATCGCGAAGAGAGGAGGACTGCGATGAACAGCGCGGACAAGGACGACTTTCAGAGGCCGTTCCAACAATGGCGGAATTGCTACGATCCTTGCATCAACTCCCAAGGGATCTACTTTGAGGGTGATGGTATCCACTAAAATCTTCGCATAAATCTCTCAGTTTTTATACATGCGATTAACAGGTTGATCGGCTACGTCACTCACATATGGATGACAGACATCTTCCCTGAGGAATTACAAAATTAATTCTGAGCTGATTTGCTCGCGAACGTTTCAATGACCGCTCGAAAGTAAATATCGCGTAGAAATAATTGAGCAAAGCTTCGTGGATAACGCGCACAGCATCGACTGATCCGGTTCTCTTTGCCGTGAACAGCGAATCGTAAATTTGACATAAAATTTATGCGACAAAATTGCAGCCTGATATAGGGAAACGCGATACGCGCAGATACCCTGGCATTGTGATACATGGACGCGGCACAGAATTAATGCAATAAAATATCAACGACGAGCATACCCGGAAATTCCGTATCGTCTACTGACGACCGTTACTCGCGCGAACGCTCGAGTTTTGTTCCCGATCGTTCGCTCTTTCGTTTTCCCTTTTTCATTGGTTTTGTAAAATCGATGAATACGCAATAAACGTCTCGCGCGCTTCGAAAGCTCCCCCAAAACTCTGAAAAGCGTACAGGTAGACGGGAAACGAAACATCGCGTCGCCAAAACCGATTCGAATTAACATGTGCAGAGACGGCGACGCGTCAGGATGGAATTGTTACGCGGACGTGGAACGTACAGCTGGAACTGTTGCTCGTGCAAAACGGATAGCATCTTCGTTGGCAAATGAATGTAAGAGGAGAAACTCAAGGCACTGAGATGATAATTCGAACCAGTGACTATAGCAAAATTAATTATATCGTCTGGATAACTTTCAGTCGTTGCAGAGCGTTCCCTTTTTCCTGGAGTTATCATAACGAAATCATCCAACGAGGGAACAACCAGCGATTTCGATGAAACTTTCCGCAAATGTTCTCGGGTGCAACCTGAGACGCACTATTTCGCAAGCATTTCCTACAATTCTCGAATTTTAGAAACGTACCTACTTGTATTAGAAGATTTCACTTTCTCAGGAAACACTTGCAAGTCTCTAAAACCATCCCCTATGAGAATTTACTTGCTACGATTTTCCAAAATTTCGTTACCTCGGGAACGTAACGGGGTTAGGCGTTTTTCGAATTGGCGAATGAATCCATTCGCGTCGCGATCTATGTTTGGCACAGCGGCTACTCGTGTCACGTTATTTATAAGCAGAAAAAGAATGGACCGCGCACGCTACACCGGATGCAATCTGGTCGCGTTAAATTCAGCACCAGGCACTTCCTGCAGTTTGACATACTGATAGCCCGCTTAAAGCACGTCGTATTTACAAGGTGCGCGTGTGTGTTATATACGTTGGTATTGTAATCGCGAAATAATCGAAACAAGCCGATAACCTACGCACAGGAATCAAACACAGGAGTTTGCGTACACGTGTTCGTTTCTAATGCAAACGTTATGCACGCGTGTACATGGAAAGTCGGCAATTACGTTTGTACGCGTCCGTTAATTAAATATTAGCCAAGCATTTCGACGAATTTCATTGGATACTGAAATTAACACGAGTCGATTTATTATGTACACGTTTTCGTAACAATAAAGGGTGGTGCTCGGTGACCATAAATTCCAATTTGAAATGTGCAACGTTTAACCGTAATACGTTATTTACTTCGCCTACTTAACCGGCATTATGGTATTATCCCCCATCAAATAATGGCTCGCATTTCTACAATTTATTACCTCGTTTGTTTCTCGACAAAAACTTGCGACTAAGAAATAAATCTACCTCCAGGTTTTCGCCACACACCTTTGCGCTGCTCTGGATATTACAGAGGAAACTTGTTTCTATCCACATACATATTTAATAGCCCATTCTTTCCACCCCCCCCCCCATGTTTCCATGCCTTCCTTTCGCTTATTTTTCTCCTTGCTCGACAAATGCTGATTCCATGGTATACGTAGCAAGCGCCACGTAAAAACTACCGTGCGTATCGCACTCGTTATCAATCACTTCCTTGTAAATATAATAAATTTAGCTGCTTGCTATGGTTTTAGCTATATCCATCTCTCTGCGCTGCTTGTTTTAGGACACCCTGTACCTACATACGCGTACTACGAATATTAATACCATCCGAGATTAAGATCCAAAATTAGCTAGTAAACGCGAGTTACAGTTTTAGACACGACTTTGTCACAGTGGATCTCCGACTCGCAATTTTAGAGAACATGTTTACCTAAGACGTTACTTACAAACGGATGCAGAAATGTAAAGGAAGAAAGAAGCAAAGAGAATAATGCAAAACAACTTTCCTACTGGAAAAAGTCTGATTCACAATAATTCAGAGTCAAATCATTGCTCCGAGATCAGTTCAATTTCATTCTGGAAACATTTCACGTAGTTCAATCAGAATTTGAATTTTCCATGATTTCATCTATACCTGACGTGTTTCGTTCTTCCCTTCTTTTTTTTTCTCTCTTTGTTTTCAGGCGTTATTATAGATCCCGACAAATTTACACGCCCGAAACGACGTAAAGCTGCCGAAACGGTCTGGAATATTTTTACGCTTTTTTTTTTTTTTTTTTTCTTTCCGCGAGATTTTACGGGCACATCGATGCCAGACCTTGACAAGTGGGAACGTTTCAGGATCGGGTACGCCTACGTGGTTTGATTTTCTCCGGATTCGCGCATCGAGGGGTTCAAATTTATCGATATCTCGAGGGAGCGAACATGGAAATTAACATGCGGATTGGCAGCCACTGTTATGAATCTCAAACGTACTCGAGGTACTACTGCACACGATCAGAGTACGCGATGCGCATACAGTTGCACGCAAAAATATCTATTCTGTGCCTATAATATAAACGATTTTTTAGAGGGCCCTTTAGAATCTTGTTTTTCAATCGAACACGAACAGAAAATGATGTTTCGAATAAACTATACTATTTCACGCCTCTATTGTTTATGTAAAATGGGATATGTATACGGTGAGAGCGTATACTTTTGCGAGGAACTGTATACGCCCGCGCCGAAAATACAAAACGATACGGTGTTTCCACTTTTCGACGGTGAAAACTTTTACCAAAACGTTTGCGGTCATGTAAACATTCGCGAGATCAGTTTCAAAGAGATAAAACGTGATAGTAGAGCGCGCGAACCGCGGACGATTTTCGTGATATTTTTCCGTGTATTAGATTAGGTTACTATAATTATACTGGCATACTAAACTCGATTATTAATCACCTATTTCCTTCGATATAATGACAAACAGTAAAC